GGTGTGATGATGCATCATAAGGTATTTTGTGAGTAAGAAGTATGCGGGAATGCAACTAGGCAAAATGCCCGACACGACGTCGCATGAAATTGGAAAGTTTGGTTTAGTGTATTTGAATTAATGCCTTGCATACTCTTTGGGCCAAAAGAGTCATAGCAAAATTCTAAATATCGTATTTCGTCAAGTTCAGTTTACAAATTGACAGCCGGCAACTTTCAACGAATCATTTGTCGAAGGTAAAGTATTGATTGTTCATAACAACTGACGCGAGAAATTTATCATTTGAGTGCTTGTTGCTAGCGAAGAGGAACTTGAGATATGTAATGGATGTCTAGAACCATATTACCGCGCTAGATGTATGGGTGGCATAGCTCTTCTGCCTACCTTGATTGAGTGATATCGTTCATGTGACTCAGGTGTAATCATACGTAGATGCCCCTCAAAGTCCAAAGAATGATCTAGCGGTCTAATCGATCACATTCTCTGAGAGAGAACTAAGCTTTCAGGTCGCTGATGAATGGAGGTCAAGTAAAGTCTTGCATAGTGCAATTAGACACAATTATAAGCCGGAACCATAAAATGCTGTATTTGTAAATGAAATACGAGATATGAACCATATACGAAGTGTGGTATTCATGCAGGATGGAGGACCTGATGGTGTCAGTAGCCCCGAAGATGAAATTGACGCGGGGAGGTCTATCAAAAAGTATTCACTATTAAAAAAACAAGAAAGAAATACAGCAATTTTAGGTGGCAGAAGCTTCGAGCTCAGATTAAACATTTAAATGTCAATTTAGATCTACTTTTAATGACGCATCTTGGAGTCTTAATATCAGATTTCAATAAAAGAGTCGAGGGTTTTTCTCAAGAGATCTGGAAATTGTTGGATAGAGACAAAAGTCGACCGGGAGGGATAGTCTCTAGTCCCCCACGATTCGGCATCCTCCGATATTGAAGCTTACTTTCCCCCGTATTTGCAGTGAGTTTCATAGATATGAGCTAGTAGAAACCAAGGCCGTTTTCGATGATGTGCATGTGCAGCCAATTGGGATATCCGCGGAAATTTGCATAAGAAATTTGCGCTATATCTTCGATCAACATCGCGCCGTTCCGTTCACTTGCATCATCACAAGCATGCAGGTGGCCTTGAAGCACTATTTCGGCTGGTCCATTGTTTCGGGATACGATTTTTTGTTGAAAAGGGGCTAACAGTCTGTCAATATTGCTTCTGTTTGTTCCCCATACCAACATAGTTGAAAAGTATCCCATACCTGAGTATTAGCAGAAGGGTAGAAGAGCAGAGGATTTCATTCGAAAAATTCATTCAATTATGAACAAAATTGGTCAATGGGCATGGAATCTGTTCCGTACACGTGTGTCTCCTGCATTGAGGATTTAGGCTAATGAGATACCAGGAAAGATTTCTTGTTTGGTATCGAAGTGGCGTCGATATTTTCCGAGAACAGTAATATTAGACAAATACCCCAACAAGCACCGTTCGGATCTAGATTATTGGAGGATGCTTTGAGAGGCTTACAGAGGTTCGACTTTTACACCTGGTGTAACAAAGCTTGCGAACTCATCATTGTGGCAAAATTGACATTAGGCAGAGCCGATTATTAGGCATGATACATACTTCTAATAATGTAGTTCCAAGAGCGACATTCTAAGGACGGTGGAAAAGATTGACATATGAAATAATGCCTTGAAATTGTCTATTCAACGTCCAATATGGTTATCTCAGTGTGATGAACCTTAGTGGTTGTCAAGGAAGAACTCTTTCACAGATGCGTTGCCACTTTGCGAAACTATTCATGGGGCCACTGAACAATGCAACCTAGATTATAACCAAACTGTGGAATCATCCGTTGAGAATAGCGTAATGCAATTCCAGATATTGATTTGATCGCAGCATGGATAGGTCCAAGAGCTGTTGTTCAACATAGCACCATTCAAAACAGAGATCCGTTTTGATAACATAGACTCATGCCCTGACTTACAATAGATGTCCCTGTGGCTGTTGTACAGCAAGGTCCTTCGAGAGGCTTTCAGTAACAGCGAATTCTTGGAGAAGGTTCTCTGTGACTGGTTGTTGATTAGAGGTCGGTCAATAACGGCTGTCGCTGAAAACATTCGATATTGGATCCCTAGTAAATCTAATGGCATCGAGGTTTATCCCAAGTACTTAAGTTGCTTCTTCGCTATGAAAAATGTACAGTTGGTCGCATGGGCACTAATAAAGAAATTGATCTTGCATATGAAAGCGCCAGTTGAACTTGCGGATGCGATATAATCGAACATTCAGTATGCACATCATGCAGATGTTCTTGTAAACAATTTTAAGCTTGCAATCCACTGTGACACCGTCGTCTGTAGGCGTGTAAGACCCACAAACCGGAAGATTGACCCGGGCCCTTTTTTAAGTGCCGTTGTTTTCAAAGGTACAGACATATCTACGTAGTCCAAAACTTCACCGATATCTCGGTAATTGGCAGTCAATCATCAAACCGATCGTGGTAATAGAGGGCACGACAGCCGCGGTGTAATATGGCTTGAATTTCAACAATCGAAATCCGGGTTTTTGGAAGTAGCCTCGAAAAAATCAGGCTGATGAGGCAAAGATCTCGCGCGGCAAGAATAAGTTGCCGGCCCGCGAGAATGCAAAATCTACAAGATAAATTGAGATTTAAGGCCTAAGGGCTAAAAAGCTTGAGACTTTCATCCCAGTCAATGTAGGTCGACAGATTGAGAACATAAAGTGCTCTACTTGAATATATGCTTTAACGTGCATATATCAACTCCGTAGCACAAGGTCTCTTGAAAGGCATTCAAATTCAATTGTTCCAATGGCATTGTAACAATGATAACCATTGAGCTTATGCGTTGTCTGCTCGCACAGTAATTTGGTGAATTAGCTCAACAACTGAAAGTTGGAGTTCTGCTGCGGATCCTTGTCCAGTAAGTGAGCAAAAGAGGGCATATTCGCGCTGTAGAAAGCTCAATTTCAAGATCTTCTCACCTATATCAGAGCCATTTCATCCAGCCATTTCTGTGGTAACAAATCAGAGGTATTAAATAAAACGTACACAAAACCGTGAAGCGTCTCACAACGTCATTTTGTAGGCTTGTACCACACAGGGTCACAGAATTCGGATTCACTGGCCGGCGAACATCCCACTGCCCTACTATTCGTTACGACTGTGATGATATGACTTTGAAGAAGCAAAGCCAAGAGTGAATTGTTCGGGGAAGCGGAGGCTACATGTAGGGACCAGTGATTGTACGGACTCACGGGACGGTACAAAAACGAACTTGTGAATAGCTTTTGATTTATCAAATCATTTACTCCAGGAATTCTTACAATTCTTGATTAGAGATAGAACAATTGAAACGCGAATTCTGATATCAAATAGTCGAAGAATGAATTTAAGAAAAATATTGAAAATTGGGAAGTGTCCCGTCAATCCATGCACCCACTGGTGGACACGATATTAACAATCATGGCTCCGAGCTGAAAATCCGTGTTAATGAATTGCGTGCACAAAAGATTTGCTGTATTCGTATGTAGACACATTAGTTGCACCGAAAATATTTGAGGCTTGAGGTACTATACTCGAGCTAGAGAAAATGGAACCATTTTGAGCAACATACCTTTGCTTTCCACCACGTGTAACTACTAAATTTTGACAAAATCTGGTAGAGTGATGTTTGCCTATCCACGGGGCTGAAAATACAGGAGCGGTCCAAGTGCAACGGCCACTAAATCAAGTACCATTATCATCCTTGCGACGGCACAGGGGCGGGCAGGAAGTGTGGAAGCTGACCCGGGAAGCCTTCGCTAACGACCCGAACATCCTAGTACATTGCAGACTTCCGCGAATATTTGATTATAGCTTCATATCTGCATTCATGTGTCAGCAACAATTGCAATAACAATGCAGTCAATGTTGTCTTTAATCTCAGCTGCACATGCCGTGTTTCGCGAAGGAAAGTAAGATGTCCTCAGTCGGATATGGGTAAAATCGCCGATTGATTTGCGGCGCAACGCTCTCAAAAGATAGAAGTAGTCACCCATATAGCATCGAGATGGGGCGATTGATTGCGGAAACTTCGTATGGGCCAGTAATAGATGCATTAGCTTAGCTGCATAAGTCTTGCGCGCCTGCAAGTTTGACAGGTGGAATGTTACATCGATTCTGATGATTCAACAAGCGACTGCAGAGGTACAGTCAACCAAGAAATAGTCCGCTTTCGAGACTGACTGCTTAAATATATCATGAATGAATCTGTGCCCGTTGTCGAATATGATATTCTTTTCAAAAGTGGAGTCTTGCCCTCGATTATTTTTCTCTGTCGCATGGATCTAACTGTTTGTTCATGGACTTCAGATGATTCAGTATATGGGGAACATACGTCGACTTCTCAAATATTATGAGTGCCACTGGAATGAGATCTAAAGCCACAATATTACGTATCGGACTCCATTTGGGCCTGCTGCAGATGCGAGCGGACTTTTCTTGCTGCGTTGCGAAAGCCGTGAAGTCTGCATGAAACATAATTGGAGAAACCACATGCATTCCGACACAAATCTGCAACATTGGACTTTCCATGTAATTCTCAAAAGATTTGAGCGGGGAAAACTTCATTTTGTTCCATGTAATTTGCCTTGAATATTTAGAGCATTGTTGGCCTCTAAAGTGCTCCACTGCTTTCCATGATCCTAGATGTCTTGATATTAGTTATATATCTCGACTCATCCAACCCCTTTCCTGCCAAAAGGTAGAAATCTTACTCATACTTTTATTGGATCTCATTTGCAAGTCGAGCGTCCATACCAAGAATTAGGACAAGTATTTACATTCTCAGTGCCATATTGAGTCGTTAAGCTACCCTGCTGCAGCCATCCTGTCATTTGAGCCGCTCTCCTACCAGCGGGTAGTGCAATAAAATCCGAAAGGTATCTTGCCGCTAGCATTCAGTAGAAAGATATTCGGAACACAATGAGTGGATCTGGTGGAGGATACTACAAGTACCGGTGTAAGTACTGGTTATTGTATAATTGCGAAAATTGGGTCTGGGTTAACAATGAATCGTGCGCAAAATGCTTGGTATGTCAATCGCTAGCCACGAGCCGATATATGCTAATATAAGTAAGGCGAGCGGTAGAGATGAAGTCTTCGTTTCTGCATCTCAACTTAGAATGTCGAGGGAGATATTCGTGCCACAAATTCAAGACGGACATTTGTATTATACAGTAATGGAGATTGTCGCTTTGAGCGACTTTGACAGCGGTTGGATAGTGAAGGAGCCAAAGAGCGCAGAGTTTCCAACAACCACGTCACCAACGGTCGAGAGCCTTCCAGCAAACGATGGTGCTGTTTCTCAAGTTACAAGAGAGCAGATTTTACCAGCACAAAAGGATGGTTGATAGATGCCATGCAATCAACCTCCGTTGCTTACTCCGAGTTTTGCGTCTGCTTGATAGTGAAAGAATAGTGTTATTGTTGGATTGATTTCCTGCCAAAAAGGGCAATTTCCGATAGTAGCTGGAGTGGGATAACTTGGAAACGAAAAGTGTTTTTCTGCAATTGCAACACTCAATGCTTGATTATCAAAAGGCGTTTAGCATCGTGTGAGGATTTCTTCATGTGGTCAATTTTTTTGGTAAATAATCAAGTCGGCGGGTGGACAAGGGTGTAACAAATCTTGAATCACAATACAACGGATTACGTTGCGTGCACACCCAGGGAACTACTTAAAAGCATGTGACCCTTCACGTATCTCATGCCATTGAAAGATCTTCCTCAGGAAGCACCTAGCAAATGACGATCCGCGTAGGAGATTCTCGGATACAATTTTGCGAAATGAAGCTAGGCTATACACGGAGTCTGGAGAGAGGTTTTACGGCCTTGCATGTTTTGATACTGCATCAAATTGTCGGCCTTTTCGAACGAGGATTTCCAGTTTTGGGAACGAAGACAAAGTCCGAAAATATTGGAAGTACATGATTCTATGCTAACCTTCCTGTTAGCGTTTGCCTCTTTTGGTGAACTTAGCAATCATTTACCGGTTATCTGCCAATCAATCATCTTAATGTCAATAATGAATCTTTGAGATACAACATCGTTGCTGAGTATTTGCAAGTTACTGCGCAAGTGTATCTCTATCATAGCACATATGTTGGAGAATTAGAAAGAGCACAGTGAAGCTTAAGAATGATACCAATATTGATCTACTCCGATTCGCCGAAGTTATTTCATACGGAGAAAGCTAAGTCACGTGCAAGACATCCATGTTCTCACTAGTCCTTAATCAGTAAAGTCGAAAGCTCGCCTCGCATCCGTCTCAACATCACTTCACTCATGCTTCGTTCCTTCCACATCGACATCGTGTTCCCCCATCCGTCTAGATCCCTCTCTCCCCCCCAAAATCCATTATCTTGTTCATCTCTTCCCCTTCCCATCAATACTTTCCTCTTTCTCTATCATTCCCCCCTTATTGATGCGCTTTCATCGATATCTAATACTGAAAACACAACATGATTTACAGGGCATATGCTGCACATGCACAATACCTGATGATTTTATATGCATGAAAGTAGCATATCTTTGTGGTGAAGATGCTAAAAGGAGTGATACTTGGAGAGGAGGTAATAGTACTTTTCTGATATACTTACTTCAATCGAATTCATCGGGAATCAGTGTATTTCAAGGCTTTAATGTTGGCCAGAGAAGTATTCCGCTTTGAGAAGTGCTAATTCCACATGCCCAAGCACGAACAAGTTTAGGACAGGAAGGATTATATCATGTTCTCAAAGCTTGCTTTACTGCATCAAATTCAAATCAACGGTTATAGCCAAAGTCTCTAGACAAAATGCCAATACGTAACTATACTCAAGAAATTAGTGGAGCGAGAGGGGGATCCTCGATTACTTCGATTGTATGTTCCGTTTGTTAACTGATAGGAATGGAATGGCAGTAGATTAAGTGCGAAAGCGCCTGGGCATTCTGAATTCTCATGTGGCTAGACTCTCTGCCATGCTTCCAGGTGCTTTGGTTCTGGTAGTGATGAAGATTGTTAGACAAACCATTTCTCTGCGTATTGCGGCATCAAGCTCTAAGCTTGTAGTTGAGGGAGTTGGAATAGCTCCGCTCCTAGTGAAACTCATGGGTCATCTATGATGATTCCTTAATTGTTGCAGTGCTTGAAAGTAAAGCTTCAATCCGTGGTCGCTGGTCTCTGCCTTGCTCTTGCCTCAATCAGCCTCACCACACCAGACTGAGTAAGTACCTACCTAGTAAGCATCAATTGGAGGTAGTGGCTTCTCCTTTGCTAGAACAGAATTGTAAAGGTGTCCAATGTAGTAAGTGCACTTTCTGTCCTACATAACCGAAACTTCTGTCCCCTCAAAGAACAGCAACAACACTCCCTTCAATCTCAGCATTGTTGTTGATTGAATCCATTCCATTCATCAGCAAACTCTTCCTCCAACAGAGCCACCCTCTGCCTCTTGCTACTCCTTGTGAAAGTCTCTTTATCTCCCTTCTATCGCTTTGTTTATGTCTGTCTCCAGCTATCCAGATTTGCAAAATAAATGTTTGGTTTTTACCTTTTAAATACTTGTTTGTTCCTGATCACAATTTGACTCACTTCTGCTATACCAGTAAGTTGCACATCATCCCATGAACATTGAATCCTGTGAAGCTGTTCAGAGAATGAGAATGATAAGATGATATTCGAGATCAGAGAAGAGCACATCATGACTTTTGGATGACAACCATCACTATGATAATCTCATGAAGCAATCATCCACCGTCTCCAATGAATTATCCTCGAGGATGTTTGTTGTTTACCCCACCTTTTATCAAGTTGGCAGATTAGTTTTGACATTGCACATGCCCATTTATTCACTTCTTCACGCTTTCACCTGAGAATATTCAATCACTGACTGTTATTCTTGATTTTTAGCGACCATCCTGAAAGGATAGGTATCGCGTATTCAAAAGAAAACACCAACAACTCAATCTTCAAATCTTTTCTGCGACAGGATTCCATCCTACTCTTAACCTCCAATCAATCCCATTCTGCGATTCCTTTCGCTGAACAATTTCAATTGTTTAAGAATAACCAGGAGTGAAAGCTCTCAATATCGAAATTTCGGTTCATTCTCACTCTTGTCGTAAATCACAAGACATAGCTGAGAGACGGTGCAATTCATCGACTGTTCGCAATGTCTTTTCTTGAAGATACAAGCATGAAGGCAAACCGCTATACAATTGATCAATTGCTTGATCTGAAGAGATCCCTTCCATTTGTTTCTTGTGTCATCGACAACATAAACAAGCACCCTGATATTGGTTAGTCTCATCCTGATCTTCTTTGAGTCACCATTCCATAATTACTAATGAAACGACTTCTGTAGCTGCTATATTCAGTCTTCCTGAGCAAGCATTCCAAAATCCCCACAACTACACTTGTTTGACTACAATTCTCTCGAAACAATACAAGTATACACGTCCTGAAGTTACAACGCGCCGTGGAGAATCATCATCTTCTTCATCTCAATCAATGCGCAGTCAAGGCAGTTGGTGTTTACGTCAAAACACCAATTCTGAATCACGTCGCACATTTGACAATCAAATCCAACCACATTCTGCGCCGACTAGTGTAGTTTTGCATCAGGCCGAGAACTTTCGAAGATTCTATAGAGCCGTTGTTTCTCCAACCCACGTGAGAGTTACTGCTGGTGGTCGCATAGTTCCAAACACTAGAGCAATGGCACCACCGTCGTTTGAGCCTATTGGCAATAAGCATACATCCGATTCTCACCAGCAAACCAACAAAATCGAGCAAATTGATCACAGCCGAGCTGCAAATAACATTGTTGGGGACGCTCAAGCATCTTTAATTCCTGTTGGAGCGCAAGGCCCTCCAGGATTTCATCCTGCCTTTCCTGGTTCTTTCCTACCACCTTATGGCTATTTTCACCAAGGTGCACCGAATATACCGGGCCAAACATTTAGTCACCCAGGCCATACACAGGCTCTCCATCAAAGCGCCAATAGTAACGATAGCACTAATAGCTCTTTGCAAGCAGTCAGAGTCTCTCATCCTGGTCAATTTGACCCGAATCGTCCATACATGATGGTCAATAACCAGTTGTGTTTCCCCACCTCAGGATTTCCTCAACCTCCCAGCGGATTTCCTTCCGGCTTGGTGGGAAACCCCCAATTTGGTCCTCCTATGTTAGGCGGCCCTCCAGGACACCATATGCCACACCCAATGCTTGGTCCCATTCCATTTCCAATATCTCCAGGAAATTTTCCAGTACCCATGATGCAGCATCCTAATGGACAATTTTTCTCGATGATGCCACCACAAGCTCACACTCAGCAAGCTTCGATGGCGCCAATGCTACCAGTTCAATCGACTTCCACCGATCAGACTCTTCAACAACATCGAGATCATCTTAAGATGCTTGAAGATCACATATCCCGCCAATCGCTACAATCAGTTCCTTACTGGGTAAATCAACGTCAGGTTCTTATGGGAGAGATTGCGAGAATGACGAACTTGCTTCAATCTGAGCCCCACACATCAGTCAGTGCCCAAACTGAGCAGGCAAAATCTCAAACCTCCGTCGATGTTGGAAGCTCACTTGATAATTCATCTAACAAGAATGATGTTCGAAGTCCAGTCATTGTCAGCTCTAGTCCAAGCATCACCTTACGCAGTCAGGAACTTTCCGTCGCTTATGCAAATTCATCAACTACGCGAAGTGTTGATTCTCCAACCATTCCACGAGCTTCAACCACTAAACTTGGATCTAGCTCACGATTGCCTGCTACAGCAGCAATGGCTCCACCATTCCAACCCCGTGGCAGTCGTACAGATCTTAGTGCTGCTGAATGGGAGGAATTTGCGAGAGTGACAGATCCTCGTCCAGGAGGTCAAAAATCACCACCAACAACACCGGAAAATACTGCTCAGAGATTGGCTCGACTTATGGGTAATTGTCAGACACGTTGGGAAGACTCTGCTGCTGGTTCAAGCATGATCAGCATGCCAAGATCGCAGACGATGCCTGCACCTCAACTACAAACCCATACAGCATCCTTGCCAAGTTTTCAGAGAGCTGAGACGCACCCTAATTCCGTTTCACAGATGGCACAGATGTCTCATGGCTCTGCTATGAATTCACATAATGCAAGTCTCCAACCATACGCTCGAGTGAATACTCAAAGCTATGATCCAGAAAGATTCATTGCCCAGAAAGAGTATTTTGGCAACTCGGCAAGCAATATTTTAAATCACGGTTCTACTCGTCAAGCCCCAAGATTTGATACTGGTAGACAGACATTCGCACAAACTTCACCTGTCCATGGTGACAATAACAATCAGACCACATTCACTACAGAAGATTATCTCAACAAATGTCAATCGATATTCCTCAATGAAACAACTGATTCAGGTGTAACAAGATATGCATCGCCATGGTCCAGTCCAGAACGAAATCCTGCTAGTCATAATGCTCTGGATACACGATCGAGAGCTGGCAGATCAATTCCACCATTTACTTTGATTACTAAATCTCTTGCCAATGAGTTTACTAGCAGCTCTCACGGAAATCTGTCTCCCGAAGTTGTCAAAACACCACGTACTATCTCTGCTGATGCTGAAGGACTCAAGATCCTCTCCGACGTGTTTGCTGAGACTCCTGAAAAGAACTTGAAATCAGGCAAGGAATCTGCAGTACTTGAGGGATCTCAACATGATATGCCTGTAGCCTTCCACAGCCCTTGCACTGAGCAGGCTACGAGCTCCACCGGTATAGGCTTGTCAACTCGTGGCGATCTTGATGTGATTTCTGAATTGGAAGATCGATTTGCATCAACACCCACTCACAACTCCACTCAAACTGCAAGTCCTTTTCTCAATCGTCACTATACATCTGAAGATCTGGCCATTATCTTTTCTTCGGATGAAACTCGTGAATCAACACCAAAACGAGTTACAAGACCTGCTAGTACTCCGTCCTTGACACAAAGAGATCTTGGTGCAATTTTTGACTCAAATCAATCAGGTGCCCCAGATCCCTACCAAGTTGAAAAAGACTCAACTGATTCTGTCGTCGATTCCCAAAAGGTTCAAGGCTTGAGCAGTGCATCTCCATTGAACGATCTACATGCACCAGCATCTAACCAAGACACAATTCCTACTGGTACCGAGTCATTGACTCATCAAGACCTAGGGGATATTTTTTCATCGAGCTCTTCACAAGCCGTACCATCTCACAAAACTGAAGAGACTGCTAATGTTCGACTACACACATCTGAGCATTTGGGTAGCATTTTTGCGTCGAATTCGCCAATTATAAGCAGAACAGGTACCGTCACACCAACATATATGAATGGGGATGATGTCGATGATAATAAGAGTATTGGATCTTGGGCCCGACGTAAAGATCATCGTACTTCGACAAGTACTCAGTCTTGTATTGAGAAGGAGAATCTGATCGTCACTCCGTCAGCTCAAGATGGTTCTCCAAAGAGCAAATCTAGTTTCGTTGAACTGATCAGAACAACAAGCAGGTGCGTGAAACCTTGTTCCTCAAACTTTCAATTCTTACTGATTATTTGTAGTGCTGTGCAAAAGAATCAAATTTTGAAGAACTTGCTGAACCTTCAGCCTGCAACTCATTCAGCCATTGCTGCTCCTGCCCATGTTTCTTCGGCTAATGCTCAAGGTATCGTTCCTCTTCAAAATCGCGGCTCGGCAGCAGCATCTCTAGCTCCTGCTATGGTCAACATGACATGTACCAGTAAATCTTCAGCGATTGCCTCACCTCGCAGTATTGCTAGTCCAAGCACTCCAGAAAATCGCTCGCGTATTGGTCGTGGTCAATCTTTCCATCGCTCTCCAGAGCATTTGGGAAACGAGGACTATCTTGATTGCCTGAAAGAAATTGCCCGCCATACATCTATCAAGCGACGTCAAGCGGAATTGCAATGATGTGACTTTGTGACATCTTGTCATCCACTCTAGAATCTCATGTTCACAGCTCATGCTACAATCATTGTTTCCTCATCTGATTAGCACGATTTCATGGAATCCATCAGATATTGAAGGCCATGTTGTATCAAACATGCACCTTCTTGTATCAATGGCTCGTTAGCACTACGATATCAGAATAGCTGGACTTGTATCTGAGGATCTAAACCCACTTGTGCTAGGATTGGCTTTTCGTATCTTTGTACCTTTGCCGTTTACATTAGTGTCTTTTGTTTTAATTATCTGGCCACAGACATACCCACAAGTTTCTTTTGGTAGGATTATTTGGGCACTGAGCATTACGTTTTCTCGCCATGCGATACGGCTTTCTTTCTCATAGTTGATATGAATTTGGCAGATAGTTTTATGAATGATATGGTGGGCAGGAAACAATGGAAGACGTGGATAATATGATCGGGCAGGCTTTATGGTTTTCTTTCTGACATAATTATGTTACTTCCTTTTTTTCTCTTTGCAGGAGACTATCAGTCAGTGTTGATATTGAGATTTCAGATTGGTGAGGGAAAATACTAGCATTCTTGTTTCATAGTTAAATAAAATCAATTATGTAAAATCTTTGGTCTATTATGATGTGATGTAATATGGCGTTGGGTTGACTGGCGTGAGGAGACCCTCATGGGTAATGTGCGTGTCTTGGTGATTCTGTCGGTGTTCCAGGATGTGAAATATTTTTGCCAAGGTGATGGGGTTGTAACATCTTGCTATGCTATTCAAACGTCGATGCGCACATTATACTTCATGAAATCACTGCTCCAAAATTTTAATCCTACTTATATGAGAAAACTCTCAAACACGACCAAGATCTATCGGCTCTCTTACAATCCAAGCTCAAGTATCTCGCAAGCTAGCAAATACCTCATCATATACGACTAAGCCGATTTCTTGAGATGCGAGTGAGAATTCAAGGAGTCACTTACATATAGAAAGTACATGGTGGATTGGGCTTGGTATAATTGGTGTTGTATCTATCTATCTACTCTTTCATATTGTTTTGTTGTGGGGGTTGTAATTAACTTTTGAAGTTTTATACCTACATTCGGTTGTTATTCGAGATATGTAGGGGTTGTGTGGATAGCGATGGATGGGTGTACAAGCGATGAGGGTGAGGGAGGTGAGGGGGGTAAATGGAAATTTGATAGCGTAGGTAGGTAGTTAAGTATTTGATGTTTGGGATGGATGGATGGGTGGTCTGGAATGGGCTGTATGCTTTTGGGAAGTCTTGTTTGAGATGGGCGTTGTGTTTATTGTTTGTTCATTATTGTGTAGAGGGGTGAGTGGTCGATTGGTTTGGATGTTAGCGATGTTCAAGATTGGTTGGTGGTTTAAAATTTGATGGATGATTTTGGTAAATATGGTATCATTCATCGCCCTTGGCCTGTCCTAGCCGTGGGGAAAAAGTAAAAAGCTACTAGATTGGGGGTAGGCCAATTCTCAACATTAATATATATAGCTACATCATAAACTCATGAGATTGTATATCATCCAGTCCGTCCATATTCCACTCATAAATCTCATTCATCCTCGTCATCTTCATCTTCGCCGTCTGTGCTAACTTGTGTCAAAGTAGGTGGAGGCCTACTACTCATTTTCTCCCTTTTTACACTTCGCCGCCTCTCTTCGTCATCGACATCCAAAAATGTACTTTCGTCATCTAATTCCTCGGGTCTGTTCCTTTGCGTTCCTCTCGGAGCATCATCCTCGTCATCGCTATCCTCACTTCTTTCTCTCTGCGTCGCCCTCTTAACCTGTCTCAACAACAATTGATCATCATACATATCCTTCATGGCAATTAAATTCTCACACCCAATCGCCGGACATTTGACCACCCTTTTCCCACCCTGATTCGTTGCATTTTTCCCATGATATTCGATGATTGCTTCTTTTTCAAAACTGTGATTGCACTTATTATTGGTGTATGGGAAGCGGAAAATTGCAAATGTGAGTGGACATTTGAGATCTTTGACGACTCGTTCAATAACAATCTCGTCATCCGAAGATTCTTCTTCGGCTTGTCTGTTGGCTTGAGTAGATGGGTGAGAGCGGTCCGAGGGGAACCATGTGGATTCTTTGGGGAGGGGTAGGTCACCGTCTGGATGAAGGGAGTCGTGAACTACACGCTTGAAGCTCTTGTAGTCGTTATGGGAGGCGTATCTGTGGGAGAATTAATTAGCATTTGCCCGCATATTCGACTCCGAACGTTATGAGTGCGGAGATAGAAGGACAATATACCTTTTTGTCATACTTTCCGCCTCATATTTTGACCTATACTCCTCCTTGATTTGATCCAGTAACTCTACTGCACTTACAACCACTCCATCTTGCTTTACTTCCTCTTCATCTTCTTGAACCCTAGTCCTTCGGATTGGAGGAGCTGGATTGGCCTCCGCCAATTTACCACAAACATCCCTAACAACCAGATCATTCCTCTCCACCTCATCGCCCTTATCAATCAAGACCCGCATCGCCAACTCCGCCTGCTCCGTCCAGATATTGACCTTCTTCGCCAAATGCTTCGTATGGATTTCCAAATCTTTGTGATCCGCCGGAATCTCCTCATCATCTTCTCCATCCCTTTGTCTCTTTCGCGCATTTTTCTCCACTTGTCTCTTGCGCTCCCATATCCTATCATTATTGGCAACAGTGGTGTCTGTGATATTTTTGATCGCTTGATTAAGATGTTTCTTTAGCTTAGCGTTATTGTGAAGAGTGCGGATGTTAGAAATGGCTCGTTGCGCATCGGCCGAGAGAGGACATGTTGGTGGAGTGTATTCTGGGAAGGGGATTGATCCGTTTGAATTGGAGGGGCGGAATCTGTCTGGTGCAGGAGATGATTGTGAACCGTGGCGCTCAGCGCCTGTTTGAAGACGTCTGCGAAGAGACATGGTATTAGATGTTGGTCTTGATGTACATTTGTCGTTGAAGGTGGGTTTGGACTATGATGTGGTGGGGAGACGCGCTTGGTCGCATGAAATCTGGGGACACGAACTTTAGTGTATTGGTCCGCGAGCCGTTAGCGTGAGCACATGATAAGGTTCTGGTGGTTACGGCATATTTTATTTTATATTCATTCCAAAACTATTTCACGTGGAGATCAGAGAATCTTGCGGCATTAATCATTCCTACGACAAATATTGTGAGTCTTGCAATCTTTTGTATCTACATTACTTTAGAATTGTTGTTTAGTAGTAGCAGCAAGGCTCTATTGAAGTTGCGATTCCAAACGCTCAAATTTGTTTCCTTCCTGCGTTGCACGGGTTTGGGATAATTTACTTGAAGCATTTTAAATGTTGGGCAATAAGAAATCTAGGCTTTATCCTTTCGCGCAGTGAAGTTACTGTGCCTCGATGCTAAGAAAAGAAGAGACAAAAAGAAAGAACGGCTCACCAGTGGCTGTGCTGTGCTGTTATTCGTCTTTCCAGGCAGAATTGAATATCTAGCCCTACCTCGATCTAGGGAGCATGCGCAATCCGCAGTCAAAGTTTCATACTTTTCATTCTTCTTTGATCTACGACTATATGGTTCATTATTTCACTCTTGCTATCATCATCGTCGTCATCGTCACCTCTCACTTTGATCTTCTTTTTCTACAGTCTTATTCCCTTCCGTAGCCATCAACATTTAATGACATCTGCGCAGTTCCGAGGAACCGCAAGAACTTTCATCTTTCATCTTTCAGATGGCAGACTTCCCACCGATCACTGACCGCTCTTACGGAATTTATACCATTCGCTACCTGCCCAGCCTTACGCTCTCCACGCCTCCACCTGTCCCAAGTACAGAAAATACTGAAGTCCTACTCATTCTTCAAAAAACTATTTGGGGGAGTGTTCCCCCATTTTGGTGTTTTCCAAAGGGTCATGCCGAAACTGGCGATGCGTCGACATTACATACCGCCATTCGAGAGCTCGAGGAAGAGACATCCTTGAAGGTTAAGCCTGAGGATATCTTGAGATTCAAACCAGCTGAACATACAGGGGAGATTGAGGGACAAGATTCTAGGGACTGGGATGGAAGTTTTTCGGAGAGATACATAAACCCAGTCAGAAAGAACGGAAAGGAGGTTAGGTATTGGCTTGCATTGGTTGGAAAAGGGGAGGGAGAGAAGGAAATTAAGCTCCAGGAGAAAGAGGTTGCGGGATACAAGTGGTGTTCGTGGGATGAGGCTGCGGAAAAGGTGACTTATGACGAAACAAAAGCAACCTTGAGGAGAGCGGTGGCCATGCTTGAGGGTCACGGGAAAGTTGGTGAGCAGTTCAAGGCTAAAGTTTGATGGAATAATGGACAATGATCCACGAAATAGAACGATCTTCAATGCTATCACTAGCTAACTTTGCCTCCAAGTCAACATTGTTGTTGTGTCGAGCTAGCTCTAGACGGCTGTGTACCACTGTCGAGCAACTCGGCAGTCTTGTGTCTGATCCGGTGAACACATAAGATGGTGTATCTGTGAAACTTATCTCACAAAGCTGATAGGGCTGAAGCTTTTTATAGAAACATGATACACTAGACTCCAATATCCATCAATAACACAAAAAGCGATGCTACAGCAGTGCACAGTTCTCGACACATGATCGAGGAATTGGACAACAGGAGATACAAGTCAAAAGTGATTCCTAACTTCCCAAACCTTGCTAACCTGCATCCTCGAGCACACGCAATGAAAGTGGCCAAATCCTAGCCGGGAAAGATAACAACTGAAATTTTGACCTTCGGATATCGGTACTGTGCCAAGATAGTAGTTCTTGCCCGACAGTCTGGATGGAACTAGATCTAAAATCGATATCCTTGATCTGCTAACGCGTCTCTAGAAATTGCCAATTTTGAAAAATATCAGAAAAATGGTATCCTTCGTCGTTGGTGGCCAATCGAGGAACCTGCATATTGCACATGGAAATGTTCGAGTAGTAGAAGCAGTAGTGGATAGAGGCAATCGGACTTAGGGATGATCCTCGCTAGTTCAGGTTGGTTGAGTGAACTCGCAAGCATTTCTCTCCCCATTTTAATCCGATTGTTGACCGGTCGACTTTTTAGTTTGCCCCATCACCAGAATCGGGCAAACCGATGTGGATATATTTCCCGATAGGCGTTGCTTATCATCGTAAATGGGCGTGCTTCATCACTTCTTCATGATTGGATCTCGGTGCTGACTGGGCTGAGAGCTCCATAGCAAAAAGCTTGATTGTCTAACAAGGATATGTTACCCGTCGGTATGGCGGCGGCTTAAACTTTTTGAAAATGTGCCAAGTTGGTAGACGTAACGTAGGTTGTGGGTATGTTCGACGTAGGAATGGGAAAACATACTTATGACGAAGTGAAGGTACGATGTTTTGGTCGACTCATTGATATGCTCATTGATATGCTCATTGATATGCTCATTGATATGCTCGTTTGTTGATGACGAGTGTAGTGCAAAGTGGTGTGTCGATGGAACTCCAAGATTACGGTGGTTATTATCTATGATTATCTGTGACTATCTGCAACTGTCTGTGACAATGTATGTTATCGCAAAGACCTCGGCCGTACTTTCCCATTTAAAAAAGTATGGAGGGGCGGGGGAAATGTCTCAAACCATTTTTGAACATTTTGCTCCATCCAAAGTCCACTTCCCCACCACCTGATAAATAAATACTGACTATTGGATAGAAGTTTCTAGTATCGACGCTTTATTACTCGTGCAGCTCACAACGTCACAATCTTTCGAGCCACCATTAAATAAAACATCAAATACGATGTAAATAAATCGCGGCTTCCAACATGTATTGTGGATAAACTTATCAATCTCATCTCATCACATGCATCTCAATGCTTGCCTGTTGGTTGCATCGCAACAACACGATGGATTGATGGAAGAGATGCTTGAGCCTGCCATGAGCTGAGCACCTGCCAGATTTGATTTGTGTTCGATGGATGAGTGGCAGAATTCTAGAATCCTATGCAATCAGAGAAATTGGAAGGGATCACCAGGCTCAACCACAATAGAGCGGCTTGTCTTGTATTGCAGTCTGACAAATGCGTTGCTAGTGTATCTAAATCTGAATGGATTCACTGCAACTTAAAAGATGCTTGCTGCAGGAGAACCTGAATGTTACCCTACATACCCAGGTATGCACTTGCTTCTACTGAGGGGCAAGTGAATACGGAATAAATATGATGTTATTCGACAAGTACTTCGTAGGTATGCAAACGCCAATACGGTAGGCGTATTTAGATTCAAAGTTTATTACCCCTAGCACATGAAGCTTGACTTTATTTCGACGGTATTACCTATTACTTACCCTGTCCCATTCTAGGACCCCAGACATTTCGGCAAAAGCTGGGTTTGGTTCAGCTAAACTAGTCAATATCCATGATCCTTCACTCAAAAGTTCGCACATTGTTCTGTTCATTTAAGACTACTTGTCTACCCAGTTTTTGAGAACTTGTCTTCAGTCTTCCTCAATATCCCCGATCGAAAACACAAGTCGAGGTTCTTGTGCGACTATCATTCGAAGAAATGTTTAATCGCAACAAGAAATCTGCGGCTGATGCCAATGATCTTGCTATCGATTCCAATTCGAGTCCGCAAAACCATGAAGACCCTCTCGCCAATATTCCAAAGACAAAATGGGAGAGACTCTGGCCAGCTATGGCCTGTGGTTCAGGATTATTCTCTGACGGTTACATTAATAACGTATGCTAATCTTCCAGCCATAAGTTCTGGTATGATAAACATACTAATATCTGCGTACAGGTAATCGGATCGGTATCTACTATGCTCGGAGTAATCTACGGAGACGTATACACGAAATCTGCCGCCGTGAAAAATATTTCCGCAATCACATTTGCTGGCACGGTTGCTGGTATGCTCATATTTGGTTATACCAGTGATAAATGGGGCAGAGCAAACACACTTACGCTGTCCACGGTAATTCTTATCGTCTTTGCTGCTCTTGGCGCTGGTTCATATGGATACCACGGAAGTGTACAAGGTCTATTCGCTGCACTTGCTGCTTATCGTTTTCTGGTAGGAGTCGGTATTGGAGGAGAATATCCGGCTGGATCTGTCGGTTGCTCCGAAGCCTCTGGAGAATTAAGAGAGGGCACCCGAAACAGATGGTTTATCATCTTCACGAACGTTATGATTGATTTCGGTTTTGTCATTGGCGCTTTTGTTCCATATTTATTGGTTGTCATTTGTACAGAAGACCATTTGCGAGCTGCCTGGAGAATCTCCCTTGGACTCGGTGTAATCCCACCATTGCTTTTGTTCTATTTTCGATTAAAATTGAAGGAGCCAGAAGAGTTTCAAAGGTATGTGCCATGGTTATTGAATGTTTCTTGAACTCGCTAATTATAAACAGAGAGAGCATGAAAAATGCCAAAATTCCCTATGGTCTTGTAATTAAGTACTATTGGTTTAGGTTATTAATAGTTTCCTTGATTTGGTTCATCTACGATGTATGTGAATATTCAAATCATCAAATTGGTTTATACTAACACATAACTATAGTTCTCAACCTACTCATTCGGCATTTACTCTTCTAAAATTCTCAGTAACATTTACGGAGATACGGCGCCACTATCTCAATCATTCGGTTGGAACACCGTTATCAATCTATTTTATATCCCTGGCGCTGTCCTCGGTTCTTTCTTCTCCGATATGGTCGGACCTCGATATGCTCTTGCCATAGGAGTCACATTGCAGGGTATTGTTGGCTTTATCATGTCCGGTTTGTACCCAGTTTTATCTAAAGTCAAGAATGTCCCCGCGTTTGTCGTCGTATACGGAATCTTCCTTTCGCTCGGTGAACTCGGTCCAGGCGACAACATTGGACTCCTCGCGTCCAAAACTTCCGCGACAGGTGTTAGAGGGCAATACTATGCAATTGCAGCCGCTGTGGGTAAAATTGGTGCCTTTGTTGGTACTTATGTTTTCCCATATATCGAGGCAGCAGGTGGCAGTGGAAATGCTTCTGCGCAGTATCCATTTTACGTCTCGAGTTCGGGATGTATCTTGAGTGCAGCTTTAGCGCTCTTTTGTTTGCCACATATTGGCCAAGATACGATCACAACGGAAGATGCAGCTTTCAGAGAGTATCTAGAGAGTAAGGGATGGGACACCAATCAAATGGGTTTGGGAAAAGTGGATAATATTGAAGAATCTCCTATCAGACAGGAGATTGGAGAAAAGTAGTAGGAGACTGTTTCTTTCTTGTGAGAGGAGAGGAGTAGCTTTAATGACTAAGGAGTGGATTGATGAATATAATTAGAAGAGAGCTAGATATGGGAAAGAAGTATGTAATGAAGTAATGACCTCGTAGAGAGATACCTACTTAATGATACCATTAATTGTCAATCTCCTGAAGGTACTTGTCGTTTGTTTCATTTGATGTCCACATGTGACGAGTTAGTACCTAGGTAGTGGTAGAAGATTTTGATTATAAGAATCTATTAGATCAGAGTACTTCACGTTACGAGAGTAGTACTCGCGCTGTATTTCAAATATAAATTCTGTTGTCGTGCTTACCGGCGGTATCTTGGAATGGTATATTGTGGTTTGAGACGCATATCCAAGTGTAGTGACATGACAACATTCTTTTACTCTCTGTTTCATGCCTTTTACTTTATGTTTTATGCTCATTGCCTTTTGCTTCATGTCTTTTACTCGATTTTAAAGTTTATAATTCATAATTTATCATTTATCACTACTGAGTCCTGACTCCTGAGTTCGTGTGGAGGTGTGGAGGAGATGGATAGGTTGGAATAGGATAGATTGTTTGCAGATAGTGTGGAATCTGGAGTTTGGGGTTGAGATTGGAATAGGGTGGTTTGTGCTTTTGTAGTTTGGTATTTTGGTAGTCTTGTATAGGAGAGCTGGGGCTTTGGGGAATGAGTGGGTGGGAGGTGTGGGGGAATAGGTTGTATCTGTGAATTCATTCATTAATGAGAATCCTTTGTTTCCATGTGGATCTGTTGTACAGGTGGCCACTGATGTCCTGTAGAATCTTGAATCTGAATGGCTTTGCTATTTCGATCATTTGAGTGGCCTCAATTATTTCAATATCCAAAATCATTTCGAAGACCCCTAGATGTTCAGAACTGTTAAACGTTCAAATGCAGTCGGATAAATCAGATTGCTAACTCCAAAATACGTTGGTACTCCAAACTCCGGTTTTCTCCTCTACCACTTCAATCCCTCAAATGAAACAAAGACTGCAGTTTAAAAAGTATGGAGGATAAGATTTCCTAAACCTGTCAATCTACCATGGGAGAAACATTTCATATGATCGTAATCTCTCGCAAATCTGCAGATCTTTTTTTGAAGACGTGTGTGCCATATTCTGTCTGTTCAATATCACCAATAGTAGATAGAAATGGATCTTCTATGGAAACTTTCCCGGTGTGTCCGGATCCGAATGGAATGATTTTAGAGTACTCCAACAGTCCCACACGGCGATATTCGTTCCTAGTGACATCAACGCACTCCAGGATAAGGCCTGTGATATAAAATTGGTTGCCGTAGAGATCTATATGGAGAGGCAGATAGCTTAACTGATTTGTTGAAGTCTCAGTTCTTATGTTGGCAAGATCCTCTAATATCCATGCAGAGCTAAGTTTGCCATTGAAGAGGACTTTGCTTCTTTCTACTTTGCTCTTTCTTTCTAAGACTTCAAGATCGATCGTTTGTCCCAGAAGGTTTAGATGACCGCCTTGGACTTGACCGAATTTATCATCGCTGACAAAATCTATGACTACTTCGAGAATCTCTACTAGCGGACTAACTGAAAAATAAGTACGCTTCTCAGCAAACGAAACGTACCCATCGATTGAAGGCCAAGACCATGATGGTGCTTGATATACCATCGGTGGAAGAGCAGAATTTCCACTGAATCACGCTAGCTGGGATACAAGATCAACCTCCCAGAGACCGGCTAGATATGGACGTCTCATCAAGGGCTGTAGTTCCCTTGCTATGACGGAAATTGCAATGAGCTTGTCGGAGCCTTTACTTAATTTTCCACTTGTATAAGCGGATACTGCTGAGCCCCAGATCGAAAAACCACGGGTTAAGCGCTCGTATTTTCGAGATGGTGTCTCTACCTCAAAATCCAGATCATTGAGATATTGATCCTGATGTTGAAGGGGGCTTAGGGTTTTGAACTTTACTGCTTCCTTTTCAGGGATTCCAAATGGTGACGATTCAGAGGCTTCTAACTCTGCACATTCCCAATAGAGCTGTCTGTCTGAAAAATGGAGAACTCGGGGGCTGAGAAGGCGCTAGATTATCTTTTTAGCATAAGAGATTAAGTAGGCATGTTCATCTAGTGCAATGTACATACCTCTTGAACAACCCAAGAGCGCTGGTTTACAGGGGCATTAGTGATGTCCCTGATCCAGGTAAGCTTTTGTTCAATGTCATAACCTTGCAGAGCTGTAGAGCTAGGATCTTCTGGCAAAAGGCTAGAGTTGAGTATTGATTGTTGGCTGGCGCTAGGGAAGCATAACTGATTCCGAGGAAATTGTACTCTGGTGGGCAGACAGATGTCCGGATCACGATTAAAGAAGCATCCCGTAGTATCATCGATTGCGGCTGTGGCAGTAATAGTACACTTGGAATATTGATACACCATGCTCATAAGTGATGCCTCATGACGCCAATCATCCTGAGAGTCTTGAATGATACACAGAGAATCAATTCAGATATATTCGAGACCGAGTTTTTGGCAAATAATAATTGCCTGGTCAAACGTTTTCATAGATTTAAGGGCAGGCATTTCTCGTGTCCACGAATTGACATTTTCGCTTGTTAAGATTATTTTTTGGGTTTCTGGAATGTTTCCCCAACAATGAGATAATGTGGCATACTCTACCCTTGTGGGGATATTCCCCATCTTTCGCAAACACAAAACTAAATCGTCAACACTTTTAATCCGAATTAAGCGAGTTGGTGTCCATTTTTTCGACGGAGGGCGAAGACGTTTGCAGTTTCGATGCGAGCTTAAGCATGTCTTTAACCAATGGTTAGCAGGTATAAAGCAAGCATCGGCGCCTGTATTGGTAGTTTCGCGGTAACCAGGTAGCAATAGTCGATCTGAAACCACTATCAGCATGTATCATGCACACAGACGTCAGGCTGTGATTGATGTGGGAATAGATAGGATACCTTTAGAAGAATCAACCTCTGTAAGAAAAATCTGGAAAACCCCCCGAAATCCATAGTTAGAGGGAATCCGGACATTAATATTTCCATTACGGTAGAAAAACCACTGGAATTTCAACCTGAAAGCTGCAAGTTCGTAATAATCCATGTTAAGAGCTTCGTCATCTATCTGTGCCCACACTTTCTTGCATAGAGCACACCCTAAATCAAGCGCCGCCTTGAAGGCATTATAAGAAGCATGATGTTCGAATAACCCCTCAGATCTAATTCCGGATGACGGCTCAATTTTCGCATAAGCATCCGCTATTGTTCGAAGAAAATCTGTACAGATTTCACAGAACATTGCAGCAGAAGACTTGTCTTTAATGATAATAATGAGATGGATGAAATTAAGAATGAAATGCGGAGTAGAAGACCCTTTTACCTGTCTGACATGTAGTCCGAACACGACTCTGACTGGAGATCTTCTCTATGCGTCCAATTAGGAAGGGGGTCGATATCGTCACTTCATTTTTCTAAATGCAGTCGAACTTTTAGAACTTCCTTAAGCCACAAGGAAACATCGTGAAATTCATACAGGGTGTCAATGTTCACCAGACACGTGTACCGAATCGTCCCACTCGGATTGTCTTTTCTCTTAATTGTCTCTATGAAGCAACAGCACAGCAAGTAAATTTTCGCTATCTACCTGTATATTTATTTCGTGACAGAAGATCGAATTCAACTACTCTCATTCTTATCTCTACACCACTAGAAGCCTACCCCTCTCAACCCCCTGCTCAAACCTTCCTATTGTAAAATCAAATACAGACATACTGATAAACTCAAAGCAAGAAAAGCTGCCAGCAAAGATATTAGCCTAATCAAAATGTTGATAACTTAATAAGCATGCATTCATCATCGTTTTGGGTCTCTGCATCATTCACCAACCCAAAATAACACCAATAACAATGAGGACATTCAAAAATTTAGATATTCAGATTCTAGAGCCGAAGTGCTTTTCCAAGCCGACAAAGCTCAAGCGAATGGCGTTTAACGAGAGAAGTGGGCTATATACATGTCCATTCATTAAATAAATTCATTTTTTTCGTTTCATTTCCGACCTGCTTCCATCGTAAATAACCTCCATTCATCAGTAACCAAATCCATTCGTTAAGTGCCAAACACCATTTCCTCCATCCATACCCTATCATTCATTTCATTCTATTCATCTCAGACGCACAAACAGGAATTATACACAGATCATCACATTTCAACAATTACTCCCTCATTCATCTCGACATAGGACTAACCGGACTAATCGGACTTACAATCCCATCCCGACCGGAACCAATTCCTCCATTATTTCCAAGTAATCCTCTAATTCTTCTTTCTGCTTCTCTAACAGCCGCGCTCTCGTCCGTCCTCCCCATTGGACTTCTAAATGTTTTTGATTGAGACGCCTGAGACATTATTGAAGTTGGCGGTGGAGGAAAAGATGTTTGCACAGCTTGATTTGAAGACGAAGGTGTATTATATGAATATTTCTGATATGTTGATGCAGGATTTGAAAAATTATATCCCTCTGATCCTCCTCTTTGACGCGAACTTTTCCTCGCAGGATAGTAAGTAGAAGAAGGTTGAGGTATCGCACTAAAATCCGAGCCCGAACGTGATAATGATATACTCCTCGGAATCGTAACTACTTTTGCCGTACCTCTAAGAGCTGTAGGGCTCGGTGGTTGTGGTGGTATTTGTGTTTCTCCTTCTTCAAATGTGGGGGTCTCGAAGTCTAAAGGAAAGGAACCACGCTCGCGTTCTCGGTCAAAAGAAAGAGCTGATGAAGATGGAATGCCTGAGCTTTCAGTCGTGATGGTCTTGATAGTTGAGGCACGTGGATACGAATTATTCGTGTGGGTAACACTAATAGGAGTTTTAGGATCTGAGTTGTGGTTATTGATTGCCGAATTCGGACCTACAGCCGAAAAGCCAACTTCGCGTCCTGGGTGATTTTGTGGCCGATGCCGGTTTTGAGTCGACGAGAGTCTAATTACTGCAGTGGAAGGAACAACTATAGGTGTGTGGGCCATTTCGCTCTTGTTTGTTATTGTCGTTCCGCTTGGACTGGTGTTACGCTGTGAGCTAGACTTCAATGTACTGGGGCCTTCATACCCAGGCAACTCAGCAACACTATTTCGTGGGCGCTTGGCTTTCAGACGATACCAGAAACGATTGGATTTGTTCTTGACAGTGGAAGTCGTGGTATCCATCCATGTGTTGGGATGAGTAGGCGGTGGTGGGAAAAATGGAAGAATAGATCCGTCTGGGTCAGCCTTTTCGGATGATGGATGCCGACGCCTGTATCGAACAACAAAGAATAGAAAGATACCAGCCAGAGCAGCAATACCTATAGCGACAGGGACAGCGATCACAATCCTTTTATGGGCACTGGCTGTAAGAGCCGGAGTCTGTGTCGGGGTTTCTGTAACCGGTTTAGGAGAGGTAGTGGGTGTTGGTGTAAAGAAAATAGTTGTTACGAGAGACGAAGGCGAAGTAGTCGCTGAGATAACAGGTGTCAGAGGGATAGTTGTAACGAGTACACCATCAGTTGGATTGTGAATCACCCCGGAAGCAGTGATCTGAGCGGATGACAGAGAGCGTATATTAGCCATACCCAAAGATACTTGTTCTTGCGATTCCTCTCGAATTACAGAATCCGGCCCATCTGTGGTATTGCACGCGACATTTGCAGCGCTGATAGAAGGACTAAAATCTCTACCCGTCATGTTCGTGAGAGAGAAACGGGGTGAGAAGTTTGTGAGAACTGGAATGGAGGTTGATGGATAGTTCGTCATGTTTATGGGATTTGACTGAATGCCAAAGAAACTAATATTTGTTAAATCACTGACCCGAGTGACACGAAAGCAGCATGTCCAATTATCCGAACTGATGAACCGGATTTTAAATGCAGCAAAAGTGATTGCTTACTAGGAATTGTTTGCATTGGGTCCAATGTTTGAGTTGAGGTGAATAATTGTATTATACATTCCAACTGGAATGACCCATTCATTTAAAACTTGCTATGCAAACATTAGCAACTTACTCAAAATACTTTTCTAGGCAGAAAACTTCCACATACCATGACATTATTACTTCCGGTAAACAAAACCAACAAATGACTACCCATCTCCTCGATCAAAAGCGCATTTCCATCTTCCCTCCACCAAAGAGTGACATCTCCCGAGCCCAAGGTGGCTCCTGGATAGGGCCATGTGAAAACAATATCTGCCTTGATGCACCCCAGAAAAACGCAAAATACGAGGAGAGAGACCAGACGTTGCATCTTCAAGTAAGGTCTTCTTCAAAACCACAATTATGCATTTTCCAAAAGAATACTTGATGACCAAAGAAAATCCCAGAAGTAAAATCAGATAAAAACCTCACGGATAGGGACATGATCATTCTTATTAGAACCCCCGCAAACATACTCGCATATCATGCAAGAAAAGATATATTTGTGTAAAATGAACAGACGATACCACGCCACCACAGATGCTACCACACCAAATGAGAAACAAAAATAATTGTGCCGAGCGAGAAGACAGTAATAAGTGGTTACTTACGATTACTGTTCCATGAATACTGTTGGCCCTTGCATATACTGACAGCTGTGCCGCTCAACCTCGTCAATTTAGATAATCTTGATTCGTTGGACTGAGGCAACTGCGCCTCTTCCCGCCGCTAATGTGGTCAGATTGTACTGCATTTTATTGAAAAAAATGTAAGAAAGATAAATAGATATCTTGATTAGATGTAGATGTTTGTTCGTTGGAGAAAAGTGTTTCGATGGTGAAAATCCACGACGTCATCTAGGCTTTCTTCACTTGAAGATCTTTCACAATTGAAGAACAAACATCTTATACAAAGCTTGCAACTTTACAATCGCTGTATTCCATGTAGAAAATGTACTTTAATTTTACAATCCAATAAAAAAATTGTATTGAATTGGTTATCAAACTTGATGTAGTTAAATAAGAGCGAAGGATGAAAAAGGTTGTATTGAAGCTGCGCTGTAACATTCGAAAGAGAAATCCTTCGTTATGACAAGGCTCCAAGGATAGCATTCGTTTATGTAGTACAATGGTACATTGACCGGGGGAACAAACTTCCAGTACCTACACGGTGGTGTGCCATTCAGGATTCGTTAAACACGGGTCGGAAAGGGTTTGAAAATCTACCCGCACGTCGTTGAAGATCGTTTTCCATACAGAATAAATGGCTTTTTGGCTGTCTCGAAAAGTTGGTTGAAGGTGTATGGAAATGATACTTTACTTGCTTGCGTCAGAGACAAATTGTTGATCGCGTAAAAGTTATTTAAAGATGCAAACAGGTCAGGGAATCCACTTCATATCTTCATATCTCCATATCTCCATATAGTATAGTATAGTATAGTGAGTGCAAGATACCTAGGGCCCCCCTTGTACCCTCGTTTGGGGTGTCCAGAGCAGGAAGGTAACACTTGCCTAACCGAGTATAGCAACTTCAATTTCGCCATTCTTACATGCAGTCTGCCCGAGTAATCCTTCGCTACCACAAGGAGAGAAGATCCAAATGTTCCTGACAGAATATCATTATTCACGGGGAACGCGTGGGGGTTTCACTAAACGAACTATTCTAGAGTAGATTTTTGAGGGAAGGCCGCTTTTTATTTTTGTTTTCATAAACCAAAAATATAGGTTCGTATCTTTGATCTAATTCCAGAAATCCGTTTGGTAATTAAGGCTCCCTAAATCATAGAATTGCGCTTCATCTGTCAACTCGTGACACCATTGTAAACTGTCTCACACCTAATCATGTGACAGACTCTTACACCAGAACACAATCTGTTCAAAATCTTCAGATATATTTGAGGCACTGTTTGCTTGACAGACATGGACTGAAGCATCGAAGTGTACTTCCTGATAGCTGTTAAGTCGTTTCGTGCATCATGAATCTTTCAAGCTCTTTCTATTTTCCAAAACCTTGCGACTACCCCTATCAATCCACAGGCAGCACTTACTCCGGTGAATACAATCACCGCTCCATACTCAGTGCCATAACTGCCCCCCAAACTCCCAAACCCTCCATGTTGAACAAGCCATTCAGTAGCTGGTCCACATGCCACGCTTCCCACTCCTCTTCCTGCGCTAAATAGACCCATCAATACACCAAAGTCTGCGCTGTTATCTGCGCGTTGAACTTCTCGTATCATACCTGCCCAGATAGCACTCCATCCTCCTGCAAAAGTTCCATAGACAATGGTAAATATAATTAGAGATGGAAGGGAGGTTGAAATTCCCCATAGCATGAATACAGATAGAGTAGATAGAGTAGATGAGAGAAGTACGACGGTGGTTATGTGTCTGACATCTGAAAGATGGCCTAGTGAAATGGCTCCGACGACCGAAAAGAAATTCAGGAGGGCGATGAGTGAAGTTCCAAGCACAGGGGAGAACGAAAGCGAAGCGCTATACGACGAAAGATAGATGGAAGGTGCGAAGAATCCAAGTGAGGTCAAGATATTTGCTATCTGTAGAAACCAGAAGATGGGTGACTTAAGAAATGTGTAGCTTGGTTTTGATGGTGGTTGGCTAGAGAACTTCGTTGAAATCCTCGGTTTGATATAGTAAATCAATGGGCAACAAAGTAGGAACAAGATAGCAGCCCAAATCCGAAGAGTACTGCGAAATCCGCATCGATGGACAAGATATGATAGGAGAAATGGAAAGATGAGACCTGAAGTTCCCACACTACCAAAGTTAGCTCGAACTTGGGGCTACTGATAATCCATGCTTACCCTGACCACATAACACCAAGTGCGAGACCCTTTCGCTTGACTAGCACACGGTCAGTGGAATTCAAGTAGAAATAAATGCTAGGATAAAATGGGAAAGCAATGCGGTAGTGGAATTAAGGAAACATGGGAACCCCAAACAAAATTAGACATTATAACAATGAGAATTGTCCTAACAAAGTTGAACATTACGATACATTGGGACAAGCAAAAAAGTTTGGATCATAACAGAGGGAATAATGATTACTTACCGAACCATTGATCGAGATAGAACATTGTTGGAGAGTACAAAAGGCTACCTCCAATAGCATATAGAAATCCTTGAGTAGCAATGAGGTGCCAAACTTCTGTAGCGAAACTAGCTGCAACTAGCGCTATCATTACAATAGCAAGTCCCACTATTGAAGATAGCCTGCGAATCGGCGGGAACGTCTCCAGAACGTAGAGGGAAATGGGCGCAAAAAGATACACTAATGATACTTCGTAAGTACTTATTAAGGAGCGGAACCGAAGAGAGGGTGGAAAATTTTTAGAAGCATCTGAATGAGATGAAATTCTGCACATACTGATTCCAGTAGCACAAGTTCCTGTAATAGCTATATCGTTTGCATGTTTATCGAAGGGCGGGTGAGTAGAGTAGTACGTCTGAAAAACCCCAAAAGCAAACGGAAATCCTGTTGATGTGTTAGTTGACATGAGATACTCTATTCCTTTTTGATATGCTTCTATCAAAGAATCACAGTTTTGGAAAGTAGATATATATGGTGATGTTCAAAATTTTGACGCGATGAGGCGGACCTGCACAGGAAGGATCACTTACCCCAGATTAATGCTTCGAATAAAAAGCATGCAGCTAAGAATAGCCAAGCATCTTTACCTCCATCTGCTCTGGGAACATTTCCACCCGTGTTGTCTGGGTCAATAATTCCTTCCTCCAAATCTCGGGTGCTTGCATTTGAGAGCGGAATTTCAAGATCTGCAACAGCCGGTTGAGCTTTGGCTTCATCTACATCAGAGCCGAAGAATTTCTTCATAGAGATATTAGAAGATGGAAGCGCCATTGAGTGAAGGAAAATGCGAAATGGTCAGAGAGCGAGATTTATATTCTCAGAGTTGCAGTGTGAAATCGAAAACCTCAAGGAAGAGAAAGTTTAACTCAATGTTTTCCAAATAGGCGGCGCAAGAATGAGTGAATATATGGTGGAGATGTGTGTTAGAAGAGAAGTTTGCCGCTTGGTGCGCTACCTATACCTTGGTGCATCGTACCTTCTCTTCTTGGGCAACACTTTCCGGCCATATACTTTATGATCACCAACATGATGGTTACGCAAGCTCAGTTTCTAAATCTGGTAACAAGACAGCTGCATGATTCGAACCGTTATCTCCCGTGTGAGTTTGATGACGGTTGTGAGTCGTAAGTGAATTCCGGTAGATATCCAAAAGTTGCAAGCAATCAGCTTCTTTGCCTTGAATCTACCTTCTGCGGCAGAGTGTCGATTTCCATTCAGTGAACCAGCTCTCAAAGTCGGGGTAGCAATCTCCATACGTCCAGGAGATGCGGCTCTAGCCGAAAAAAAGATCGCGATGTAACTTAAAGACAGGCAATTTTTTATACTTTTCATCACTGATATCGTCGAAACTTTTGCCATATCACACCCAACTGCAGGAACAATTCCGTGGTCAAACCAGGTGATCGCTCGCCCCGTGTACGAATGACGACAAATACCGAGTGGACAGTGGTAAGGGCAAGGCTTCGGTCCAGTAGATTTCGAAATAGAATACCGGTAGAGCGGTTCACCAAGCACTTTAGCAAGTTTGGCAACTAGATCTTCGCAAGCAGGGCAATCTGTAGTGGGATAAATTCCGCCATCTAATATCGGAGGATCTTGCCGCCAAAGCTTTGCTGGCATTTGATTGGCTTTCCATATTGCATGGTACGATGCAAGCCAGTGGGAGTCGAGTTGGAAACAAGACTCCTATTCATGTACGAGTAGATTGCTCTAGATGCAAGATAAGTGAATGACACCATCTTAGCTACATGAATTTGCTCAGTACCTGTCTTCCACATGAGATATCATAGCGTCATTCCAGCACCAAGAAGGCTCAGGTAAAAATTTGTATGCTTGCTCACTAACTATTTTAGTGGACGCTCTTTCTTCAGTGGAAGTTCCATGCAGCGGGGAAGTATTACCACCCGTCGCTCCCGCTGGTTTCCATACGGACTTGCCCTAGCCTAACGTGTAACTTTCTAGAAGAGACTGTTCTTATCAGGCTGCCGAGCATTCATATGATATGCTTCATCCAATAGTGATACGGACCCGTGTACTTTGCCTGTTGGTTGGTCGTTGGTTGTTGATTGCTAGTATCATGCACGACTAATGTTACTCTGTGGGTCTGGAGTCTAAGTCCCCGGCTATGATACCCCACAAGAAGCGGAACTCGGCATATCTCGAGAGGTTGTCGGGCTGTAATATTGAAGAATTTCCGAAATATAGTACCAACAACGCTAG